CTATACTATTTTGGACTCTTGATGTCAAAAAGTAGTCATTTTTGGAAGTCACAAATCTCCACCAACTACCTCATGCTTGAGCGATCAAGAATCTCAGAATCAAATGCTCTCCCCACAGACTTTCTGCTTCTTCAAATTCGCTCTCCTCTCAAGCTCAGATAGTTCTACTCTTGCCCTCTTTGAGGAACTAGGTTCCTCACTGTCACTTGGCCTCTTTCTGAGAGGCTTCTCTTTTTTCTACTCTCTCCTTCTCCACATTTCCATCTTCACCTTCTTCATCATCTTTTTCAGATAGAACCTTCTTTTGTTTCATATAAACTGCTTTCTTTGATGTTTTCCCGACAAGAGGAGCAGGTTCCTGAGCAGTCTACTCATCATCAACCTCTACAACATTTTCCGGAGGCACATCCTCCTCCTCATGAGCCAGACTTTTTACAAGGAATTGTTAAAGGTATGCTATGGTTGGCTTTATCGGCTCATGTTCAGACTTGGGGAAGGATTCAGGATTTATGCCTTGTATAGATGCGGGTTTCAAGGGAAGTGATTCTGCCGGGTGCTTCGTCAAGAGGGTATTCATGTGCTAGAAGATTCATGGAGTTGATTATATTCGGGGCCAAGTCAGAACGGGTGGCTCTCAACAACGGTCCTAGTGGATCCAAAGGGGCAAAGCATGGTGCCTAATGATTGCGAGCCTATAGGTACAGTTAAGAATCAAGCTTTGTAGCAGCTTATGAGAAGAGGCACAGAATGTTCTATGATATTTTGACTTGCAGTGTAGCATTTGGGAGGTATGAAATGGTTCGTAGGATTTGAGACAGCATGATCTCGTGATTCAAGTTCACTCGGGATAAGTGTGGAGGGAGTGTGTTATGTGTTGAATGGAGTTATTATTATTTCTAAGGCAATCAAGAATTAATTTGGAAGAAGATAGATTGGTTAGCCATAGTTGAATTGGCATATTAGTGGTAGTGATCAGTTCCTTCAACGTGATCAAGTTATGCAAGTGATTTGTGACGGCACGTGTGACGCTTGTCGACCGCCGTAATTGATGTTATTCAGAAGTATTCCACTGTTATGGCCTGTCATGTGTAGGCGGATCCCGGAAGGGCTATGGTGGCTTAGACCACTACTTAGAGATTTGCATATTCTACGGTTATGAGAATTCACCTGTGTGTTGCTATGGTTCTCCTGAAGTGAGTTAAGTGAAAAGTTTTATATGATGAAGTGTTAATCTATTAGTGGTTACGGAGTTATGATGAAAATCGTGTTCTATCGTATATTGGCATGTTGGGTGCAGTGAGTGGTATGGAATTTGAAGTGAGGATCAAGGTTGCAGTTCGGTGTTGACAAGGACGTCACTAGCTCGGATGAGCAGTAAAGGTGTTTCGATGTTTAAAGTAAGTGGGTATCGTCTTCAGCGTCACCTGAGATCGGTGTTTTATGAAAAAGGCCTTGCATCCTGTTATGGATTCTTGAACGCTTTCTCAGCGTTAGTGCGGCTGGTGGTATGGATACGCATACTTGTTGTCTGTTACGGAAGGTTGTGGGAGCGTGCCCCACAGGAAGATTGTATAAGTGTGGCATGTAGTCACTTAATTGATTGAAGATTTAAACCAAGTATGAAGACGGTGGTGATATCATTAATTTGAGAATTTATGCTTAGAGGGCACTCGACCTATTGGGTTGTGGACCGTAGAGGATTGCCCCGGTTATGATGGTAGTTCTCGTGTGCTATGAGAAAAAAGGAGTTATTATGGACCTTCGAAAGGATATTAGCCTAGTTCAATGTGATCAAAATCAGCTTGAGGTCTGTGGATGGATCTAAATGTGAATATGGGCTCTATATCAGGCCAGATGTGTTCATTTTAGCAATGCGCTCCTTTAGAGAAGTAATCGGGGTACTATTTCGTCGTCAGGTATTTCATGTAATGATATATTGCGCCATATGAGTTGTGAGACGGCTTGGTGAATTTCTTATGTGTTGAGGTTCCGAGTAGAGATGATGTTATATGAGCAGAATGGCTCTTGAGATTCAGATCGTATATCGCACCCCAGTTGTGCTTGAGTTTTGTAGCTTATAGCGCCATATGTCTCCCCAGGGATGATCTTATGCACTTAGCGTGCTTGTGACCGATATTCGGTATCATGTTGTAATGAGCAATCTAGCTCGGTGTGTACCTCCTTAGGTGAATTTTATGTGTGGATCGGATGGCACGCCGTTATGGGTATGTTGTTTGGATCGGGTTACGCACCGCAACAGTGTGATGTCGAGTACAGTTCCTCGTATCTGTTTTTATGTGTTTATTTCCTCTTTTCCTGAGGAAAACTTATATCAGCTGTGTGCCCGTGTCACATGTATGATTCGCGAGCGGGGTATCTGTTTAATTATGTTGACCGCGTTGCATGTATGATTCGCGAGCGGGGTAATTGGATTTTCTTTTCAGAGTTCGTTTTCCGTTTGTCACGTTCGAGTTCATAGCCTATTGGCACATTGTGGAATCATATGAGACTTTTGAGCATGTCCGGGGTGGCTTATTGCCTAAGCGGTTCGTACTGGGCGAGACGAGATCATTGGATTTAGAATCAGTGCAATCTGATTATATGAAGTATATTAAGGAGAAAATACCATTATTTGGTTCAGAATGAGGTGATGCTTCTTGTCACGAGTATAGGCCTGATGAATTGTTGATTCGGCAGTTGGTTATGAATTTCTACACACCTCTTCCGTCTTGGCGGTATTATAAGAGTTAGAGCAAGACCTATGTAGGTCATGAGGTGCAATGGGAGCATCAGATTCGTGGAATTTCGACTAATTTGATCAGAGAATGTTATTGTGGTCCTGTGAACAAAGTGGTGCAAGGTGTGGATTCAGCTAAGGTACGCGGTCATATTTTGGTGTTGCGGGTAGTTATTGATACGGTGTTCGTATGATGGAAACAAGCCTGGCAGAGAATTCTGGATGTTGGAATCGGGCACTAAGGCTTATTTGCTTAAGTGAAAAAGGATATCTTTCAGATGGATCGAGATAGGGTGCCCAATTGAGTTGTGGTGGCACGGGTAGGTGCTCGGGTATTAAATAGTAATTTTGGACAACTCCATCATGGTTCTTAGCACGTTCGAGGACGAACGTATGTTTAAGTGGGAGAGGATGTAACGACCCGACCAGTCGTTTTGAGCTCTAGCGCGCCGTTCAGCAGTTTGAGGCCATGAGCAGCTTCATTTCAGGTATTATGACTTGCAAGCGTGGTCGGAATTGAATTTCGGGAAGTTCGGAGTTGATTCGGGAAGAGAATTTTCATTTCGGAAGCTTTAAGTTGAAAGAATTAACTAGGATTTGATTTTTGAGTAAATGGCCTCAGAATTGGAATTCGAAGGCTCCAACAGGTTTGTATGATGATTTCAGACTTGGGTGTATGCCCGGATCAGGTTTTTGATGACTCGGGAGCATTTTGGCGCCTATTGTGGAAGTTAGCATTTTGGAAGGAATTTCATAAGTTTGGGTTGAAGTGCATTTTAGTGTTATCGATGTCCGTTTGGGATTCTGAGTCTGGGAGTAGCTCCGTGGTGATTCTGGTATTGGGAGCGCGATCGGAAGTGAATTCGGAGGTCCGTGGGTTATTTTGGAGTTATTTGGCTAAAGATAGAAATTTGAAGGTTTTGAGAAGTTTGATCAGAAGTGGACTTTTTGATATTTGGGTCCGAATCCGATTCCGAAAGTTGGAGTAGGTCCTTAATGTCGAATATGACTTGTGTGCAAAATTTGAGGTCAATCGGACGTGATTTGACGGGTTTCGTCATCGAATGTAGAATTTTAAGATTCTAAAGTTCATTAAGCTTGGATTGGAGGTCGATTCATGATTTTGGCGTTGTTTGATATGATTTGAGACCTCGAGCAAGTCCGTAATGTGTTTTGGGACTGGTTGGCATGATTGGTTGGGGTCCCGGGGGCCTCGAGTGGATTTCGGGTGGCTATCGGATCGAAATGGAATCTTTGGGAAGGCTGAAGCTGCTGGTTGTTGTCATAACCGCACCTGCGGTTGCTAAACCGTAGGTGCGACCGCAAAAGCAGTCCATCTATCGCAAAAGCGGCTCTAGGCCAGGCAGCCCAAGACCGCAGATGTGGCCCTAAATTCGCAGAAGCGGTGGGCCTGTCCGTAGAAGCGGCCCAGACCGCAGAAGCGGCCCAGACCGCAGAAGCGGTCTTCTTTCCACAGAAGCGGTGGTCGCAGGTGCGGCCCAGGACCGCACATGCGGAAATCGCAGAAGGCAGTGGCCTTCATTTATTCGGGCTCTAGGCCATTTTTGTTAATTTTCACTCATTTCTTGGGCGATATTGGAGCTCTTGGAGGGGTGATTCCACCTAGCATTGTGAGGTAAGTTATTTCTAATTAATGTGAGTTTAATACTTGAGTTTTGGGTAGATTAACAAATAAAAAAAAAAAAAATATATATATATATATATATGTATATATATATATATATATATATAGAGAGAGAGAGAGAGAGAGAGAGAGAGAGAGAGAGAGATTAGTGATAGTCATGGGAATAGAGTAAAACCTAGGGTTTTGCTAAAAATAAAATTCAACCATGAAATTTGTTATGGAATGAAGTAGAAATCACGTATTCTTGATCCTAAGGTTATAAAGAACAACTTTCTTCGAAAAGATTTCGGAATCCGGGCACATGGGCCCGGGGTCGGATTTTAGGAAACTTGTGTTTAAGGTTGGGAAGTTGCTTAAATAGTTAGAATGCGATCTTGTGAGCTTGTATTGACTAGTTCTTACCTCGTTTATCTAGTTTTGGATCGTTCGGCTCCAAATTGAGAGTTTGAGCTCGTTATTGGTATTGGAAGTACGCTTTGGAGCGAGGTGAGTCTCCTTTCTAACCTTGTAAGAGGGAATTGTCCCCATAGGTGAAATAATTGATTATGTGCTCCTATTTGTGGGGGCTACGTACGCACGAGGTGACGAGAGTCCGTGCGTAGCTACTAATATGTAAGTCCAGGTAGTCTAGGACCCAGAAGCATGCTATACTTGGAATATCTGTAATCTTATTGACAGTTAAATTTCTTAAATCCTATCGAAATTGGTAAAATGAATTTCTAAAGAGAATTTAAAACTTCTTTTTCTTAAAATCGTTGAAAAGAGAATTTGGCTTTTATTTGGGAAAATGTTCCCCGATAAATCCTAAAATTTGCTGTTTGAGCATGAATTTCTATGTGTACTTGCGTCGCATGTGTGATTCGCGAGCAGGGTGCTTGTTTACTTAAATTTGACCGCGTCGCATGTATGATTCGCGAGCGGGGTAATAGATGCATCTATGGTTCGCGCCGTTCGACCCTCGGCAGTGCACATTTTACATTTATGT